AAGTTCTTCAGTAAAGACAGTGGTTCTATATAGAACCATGAACACTCAAAGAACCCTACACTCTTTAAAAAGATGGTTCTTCAAGGGTTCTTTAGTAAAGACAATGGTTCTATATAGAACCTTGAACACTCAAGGAACCCTACACTCTTGCAAAAGATGGTTCTGAGGTTCTTTAGTAAAGACAAAGGTTCTATATAGAACCTTGAACACTCGAGGAACCCTATGCTCTTACAAAAGATGGTTCTTCTGAGGTTCTTTAGTAAAGACAGTGGTTCTATATAGAACCTTGAACACTCAAAGAACCCTACACTCTTTTAAAAGATGGTTCTTCAAGAACCATGCTATATAGAACCATGTACAACATCCATCTTTTTTAAAGTGTTGCCCGAGAATGTGTTGCATATAGTTCTTTAAAGAACCTTTTTGAAAAGGGTTCTATATAGCACCAAAACGGTTTGACTATTGTATACAAGCTTGATATGATAACTACAGAAGAACACTTTTTGGCTCTATATAGAACCATATACAACATCCGTGTTGTATATGATTCTCTGTACATCCTTTTTAAAAAAGGGTTCTATATAACACCAAAAAGGGTTCTGCTATTGTCACAATGTCAAGCTTGCTGTGCGCTATAGAAAAATATTCAGGAATGTGCTGTATAGAACCATATACAGCACATAGAACCATATCCATCATCAATCTGAAGAACACATTCATTTAATCATGCAAAGTGTTCATGGTTCTATATAGAACCATTTTCTTTACTGAAGAACCCTTTAAAGAGCCATCTTTTTAGGAGTGTATAGTCTAAGTGGAACACTGTTGTATCTGTTTTCATATATCATATGTTTTCATATTTCATATGAAAACATATGATATCTATTCGTTTTCTAATGTCCGTGTGATTAAAACCAAAAGATGGATTATAATTATGAAGGAGTGTAAAGTGTAAATGAGTCCAGATGGGAAAACAATATTTATTTTTGTGATAAATGAGCGTTTAAAGAGGGCTGTGAGTTACTCTGAGCGTGTCTGTGTGTGTCTGTGAGCTTTGGCTGACGCTGATGATGTTTAGACGCTGTTACTGCTTTAAAATGACTCACCAGTTTGTGACTGCGATTAAAACTCACCCAGTAACTTCTCAGCTCTTTATTTTTCATTTCTCACTTTATTCATGGATGCAGAAACCTTTTTACAGCAGTAAATTACATTACTTGTTTTTATGTTTTATAAAATATACACTACAGGCCAAAAGTTTGGAAGCAAACTAGGTTTATCAAAATAAAAATAAATTTTTCATATCCTATATTTCTTGTTTTTTATTTTTTCTTGAGGGCCACATTTTTAGGGTTTTATGTACGAATAACTCATAATTCGTATTTATGTGATCATAAACATAAAGATTTTGCAACCTTTCTTTATCTCTTACAATTAAACAGGCTGTTTCTGTTACTGTGCCTTTAAGACTGATATATGTAAATGAACTCTGTTCTGATTGGCTGCCCTGTATATTGCCTTGTTTAAAAAGCAGAGCATTAGAACTTTTGTGTGAATGAGAGGGTGTAAATTGCTGTAGGCTAAATGGGTGGGGCTAAAATGCTGTAGGCTGAATGGGTGGGGCTAAACTGCTGTGGGCTGAATGGTTGGAGCTAAAATGCTGTAGACTGAATGGGTGGAGCTAAACTGCTGTAGGCTGAATGGGCAGAGCTAAACTGCTGTAGGCTGAATGGGTGGGGCTAAAATGCTGTAGGCTGAATGGGTGGGGCTAAAATGCTATAGGCTGAATGGGTAGATATATGTAAATGAGTTGGTTTTAATGACACCACAAAAACAGGAATATTCAAATTATTTCTATATACTTTTACTTGCTTGATGCATTTTTTTCTGATTTCAGACAATTTTGCTGTTTTTTAGGAATTAAAATGATTTGAAAAGCAATTGGTCTAAATGACATGACTTAAAACAAGTAAAAATGCATACATGTTGGTTAAGTAATCGTATAACATTCCTACAAAAATCTCGTAATATCAGATGTATTGACTAGATTTAAGGTGTTTTCACTAGCTGTTATTTTTTGCAGTGTAAAATATTCTGGAACAAACTTATTAGGCTGAACTGGATGGTAATGAACATGTGCTGTGTTGGTTGTTAGGAAATTAATTGAAAAATGTTTTGTGAAAAAATCGCTGTTCACCTGATTTTTGAACTGTAGTGTGTATTTGGCTTGTTCTGTTTTGTTCATGTGTGATTTAATGGTGCAGCATCTACACTGCTGTTATCAGCTTTAGCCTCCTGCGCTAACCTGTCAGACCGCCGGTGTGTATGTGTGTGTATGTGTGTGTGTTACACTGAGCTCTGTTGAGACATGATGTGTGTATATCCTTCATTAGCCCATGTGAAAATGTTTTGGTTCACTGACGCCTGTGCTAACTCTACTCTGCAGTGTTCCAGCACTAAACTGGCTAACTGGCTAAACTCTGAATGTGGAATCTGATGT